GTTGTTTCTTCTTTTCCTCCTTTCTTTCGTCTCCGTGGTTCTTTTTTGACTATGAATTCAGGGCTAGCTCAGAAGGAGGATGGCATTTTAACCCTGAAACTATGGCAAACTTTCTTCTGCCAAAGAGGAGTGGCATGCCACAATAATTAATCAAAACCTCATCATTCTTTTCAGGATTCTGAAAAATGAACCTTCTTTTCAGAAGTTCATAGACCATGGTCATTTGAAAACGTGCATTATTATTCTCCGGCAAATCAAGAAAATGACCAAAACAACTATTTCGAAAAAAATCTTCCAAACCATTCTGCTTGAGTGTGATCCAGAAAGTGTCAAAAGGTTTTCTCATTGCTGACCTCATAATGCTATCACCAGTAGCATTAGGCTGTGAATGCACAAAAAAAGTGTGTGCATTGATAGTTTTGATCCCATCATCCTCAACTTCATTTTTTTTCTTGTTCTTCTTCCTCAACTTCTTTTTGTTTTCCTTTATCTTCCTCAACTTCTTTTTTATTTCCCTCTTCTTCCTCAACTTCTTCTGCTCTTTCTCCATCATCATCTACTTCATTTTTTTCTTTCTCTTTCTTCATATTCTTTTTGAGAAAATTCTGCTTCTACTTGAGAAGAAGAAACTGCTTCAGATGCTAGTTCTTCTAAAAGACTGGTAGTCGAATTTTCATTCTTCTTCCTACAAGTTCTAGTCCTAGGCCTCTTCTGGATCTGGATCTTTGTATCAATTGTTTCTTTTGTTAATACAATTTTTTTGTTGACAGGAGCCATTATATTTGTATCTGCAACCACAAAAATCAAATATTTCTTAACAAAAATAACACACATGAACCAACCAACAAATCACAAAACCTTCCCTAAACCCTAATCAATGAACTACAAATTAAGGTTTTTGAAATCAGATAATATTTCAAAAGGAATAACTATCCAACAATCCCACAAACAAATAAGTGATAAAATCACTAAAAATGTCCTGATTTAATACGAGTAAGTATTTCTCAAAACCCTAATTAAATTTAACCTGACAAGATATCAACGATAAACTAGAAATGATGAGGGAAACGACGCCTTGTTGTAGAAGAGGATCGCAACAGATTACCACTGATGTTGTAGAAAATATCGCAACAACAACCTTGATCTGTGAAGAAATAATGGAATGAGAGAAAGGAAGGAAAAAAGAGACAAGAAAATGGAGATTAGTAAAAATAAATTAAATTTGGAATATGAAACGACCTTTTATATAGGAGAGGAGAGAGGGAAAAATGAAGGGACGATTGTTTTAAACCTTTTCGATTTTTTTTTTGAATTTTGGCAATTCAAAGTGTGACATATGTTGCCACATATACCCTTTCTGTTGGGGCACATGCAGATAATTCTGTGGTGTTTTTAACAACATAGGTTATATATGTTACCACAGACACCACATTTCTTCCTTTCCATCATAATTGACATTTGTTCCAACAAAATAAAAATAATATTAATAATCATTAATATTAATATTATCAGCAAAAATGAATAATTGATGACAATGTAATGTTGCCACATATCTCCTTTCTATGACATATGTTACCACATATCTTCTTTATGTGACATATGTTGCCACATGTATCCTTTCTGTTGGGGAACATGCAGATAATTCTGTGGTATTTTTTACAACAGAGGTTATATATGTTGCCACAGACACCACATTTCTTCCTTTCCATCATAATTGACATTTGTTCCAATAAAATAAAAATAATAATAATAATCATTAATATTAATATTATCAGCAAAAATTAACACTTCACCAATTGTTTTATACAACTTATCAACAAAAAGGTAATTCACAATGGTATACATAACCATCAATCTAACAATGGTGGTAGCCACAACATTTTTATCTATGCACTTTGCTTTTTTAGGTCTAGGCCTCTGTGGGTCTTCATTGTTACTAACGTAGCCACTCTGAGCCTTTAAAATCCCATAATTCCATAGGAGTGAAGCATATCTCAAGCGAAGGGATTGAGAAATAATTTCATCATATGGTATTTGTAGTCCATCACTCAAAAACTCAGCGTATGCAGCAACAAAAACTCCACAATCACTGCATGGTATATCATCAATTAGAAAATATAATAAACCTAATATTAACATCACATTTCGATAGTGGTAAGACTAAAAAAATAATGTGATACTACTTACAGACTATTGCTTGCTTGTTGGGCAATACCAGTAACATGTATAACTTCGAATGGGTGAGATTTGTTCTTGCCCTGGTAAGATTCAAGAACTGACCAATTGGTTCGGTCTTTTTGCTCATAAAATCCGCTGGATTCAAGGTACTTTGGCAACATTGTAGACAACTTTTGAATCTCAGCGCACAATTTTCTGTTAGTCCTAGATGAGGACATCGAATCATACACATTTATGCGTCGTTCCTTCAATAGAACGACTGCCAAGACCTAATGAAACTCCCCATTACAATTTACAGGGAGATAAACCTCATCTGTGAGGTGCCAAGGCAGTCCAGCAGGTATACCAAACCCTTTGATAGTGCCAACGATTTTATTCTCATATTCAGGAACAACATTGGCATTGTCAATGTATGTTTTGAAAAAACAATTAGTAGTGATATATCGATATTTAGAATGACTGTTGCTTCGACTTCTTCCGCAAATAGTATAAAATGACATCCATATACTGCACAGATGCATCAACAAGTGCTTTTATGTATCAATTTATTTGTATGTATTCATGTCTTAATCAAAAGATAAAAGTGGGCATGAATTTACCTCATCAGTCCAGCACTTATTGGGTTAAGACATTACATAGAACCAGTCCTTCTTCTTTGGAAATGCAAATACAAAATCAAGTTGCTTGAACTCAAGATCCGAGTAATTAGCTAAGTAGTGATCGTCCTTGTCTCTTCTGCAATTTTGTAAATATTATAAATAAATATTTAGTGGACAACAAGAAGAAATACTAATAATAGTTGAACAACTTTACTTTTTTGCATGATGCTTGTAAAGACCCTCGTTTATCCATTGCGAGAAGGATGACATTAGTTCAGTTGGACCCTCGCCGTCAATGTTAAAACCTTCAAATGGATATTGTTGTTTCACATCACAACTGACGACTTCGACTTTCTTCTCTTTCTTTTTCACTTTCTCCTTGGCTTTCTTTTTCACTTTCTCCTTCTCCTTCTCTTGCTCCTTCTCCTTTTCCTCCTCCTCCTTCTCCTGCTCCTTCTCCTTTTCTTCCTCCTCCTTCTCCTACTTCTCCTTCTCCTTCTCATTCTCTTGCTCATTTTCCTCCTCCTCCTTCTCCTTGCCTTTTGGGTTTGAGTGTGATGGAGCAGTAGTCATTGATTTTTTTCTTTCACTAATTATAGATAGTGATTGAGAAATATATTTTTTCAACCTCCTACACTTCAAAGGCTGTGAAATCTTCTTGGATGTATGGACATCTATTATAAGTCATTTCCTTAAAAATATCAGTGAGTTCTTTAATAGGACTAATAAAATAATCATGTTGCTGCTCACATTCTTCGGTTAGACAAAAAGAGCATTTGATGTTAGAAGAGGAAGCAACACCAATAATGAAGCTTCTTGTATAATTTCATCTACAAGGTAAATAAAAAAATGTTGAGAGTTTACAATTGATTATAAAATAATAATGAGTAGCAAATTTATACTTATGTTGACACAGATGGATATTTTGTTGCCACATATGTACCTTTTGTTGCCACAGATGAATTTTCATGTGCCACAGATTAATCTTTTGTTACTATAGATGACCATTTTGTTGCCCTCACATAGGTGATATGTTCCAACATATGATAACTCTGTTGGAATATATACCAACATATCATTAAAGTGTAGCAACATACGACACATCTTTCAACAAATGAAATATATGTTGAACAACTGAACAAAACTATATTTCTAAAATCATATGAACAAAATGGTCATAAAAAGAACTACAAAAGCAACAAAAAATGAATTTTCACTAAATGTTAACAATACATATACATTTCCTCAAAATTAGGGTTTTTTGAGTTTGTTGATTTTCTTTCAAAAACAATAAATAATAGGTGTCATTACACTATTATTCGATTTTCACATCTTTAGAACAATTTATTGTTCATTAACCCAAGAAAAAAACTTAGTATTGTTCGAAAATTGTAAAATCTTTCAAAAAAATGACTTACCCATTTTAAGTCGGATACAATCTTCAGTTCACAAAGAGGAGAGAGTCACGACCGGAGATGAGGAGGAAGATAAGATAATGGGGGAGAATACTTGTTTTGATAGTCGGATTTTTGGATTTTCTAAGGAAGAAGAGGAAGAGAAGAGAGAACGTTGGGAGAAGAAGAAGAGAAAATTCTATTTTCTTTTACTTTTTTTTAAAAAAAAATGGTTTGGATAGAACTATAAAAATTGAAAAATGAAGTGTTTTTTTTGTATTTTATAAAAGATTAGAAAGTTTTGAAAATGTTAATTTGATACCAAATTTACTTAATTACATTTTAAAATGGATTTGACCCTTTCTTGGTCCAAGTGTCATCAAAAATCAAAGCAAGACTTAATTTACACCTTTCATTTAATTGTAAGGTAGAATAGGGAAAATGCATAAGTATCCCCCAGCCTATGCCCAAAATCCCTGAGACACACCTAACATTTACTAAGGTTCTATTACCCCCTGAACTTATTCTATATATAATTTTTTACCCATTTTCGACCTATGTGGCACTATCTTATGGGCCCAGCACGTGTTGACAATTTTTTCAAGGATAGTGCCACGTAGGCTGAAAAGGGATAGAAAATTATATATAAAATAAGTTTGGAGGTAATTGAACTTTGGTAAAAATTACGTGTGTCTCAGGAATTTTGGGCATAGGCTGAGGGTGTACTTATGCATTTCCCCGGTAGAATATCACAAAAAAGTTAGCGGCAAAATTAGGGGCATACCGAAATCACAGTAAAGAAGAAGAAACGTTCACTGATCCATTAAAGATGAAGGGAATTTCTCTCCGAAATGGCAATGGTATTCCTTTCATCTCTTTATTTCCTACTTCAGATTCTTGTTTTTCGCCAATTATAGTCAGAGTTTATAGTAATAAATCCATTTCGGTACTGAGTAAATTTAGGGCAAATAGCAATTTTGAGTGTTTAGATGATGCTCTGATTCTCTTTAAGCAAATGGTTACAATGAAGCCTCTTCCTTCTCTTGTCGATTTTTCTAAATTATTTAAGACTATCATAAATATGAAGCATTATTCTGCTGTCCTTTCTCTTTTTCGAGAAATGCAGAAATTGGGTATCCCAATTAATGGAGTCATCTTGAATAGTGTGATTAACAGTTATTCCCTGATGCATCGTGCTGATTGTGGGTTTTCGGTGTTACCCATTTACTTGAAGAATGGTATTTCATTTGATGTTGTCACCTTTACCGCCTTAATTAGGGGATTTTTCGCTGAAAATAAGGTCAGAAATGCTGTTGAATTGTTCAAAAAATTGGTGCAAGAAAAGATTTGTGAACCTGATGAAGTCATGTATGCAACCATCATGAATGGGCTTAGTAAAAGAGGTCATACGGAGAAGACTTTAAGTTTGCTCCGGTTAATGGAACAAGGGAACACTAAGCCTGACATATTCATCTACACCATTGTTGTTGATGCGCTTTGCAAAGATAGAAACTTAGATGGTGCTACAAGTCTTCTGAACGAAATGAAGCAGAAAGGCATTCCTCCAGACATAGTCACGTATAGTTCATTGATTGATGGTTTGTGTAAGCTTGGTCAATGGGAAAAGGTTAGGATTTTGTTCTCTGAGATGGTGAACCTTAATATTTATCCAAATGTGCGCACCTTCACTATACTAACAGATGGACTTTGCAAAGAAGGGAAAGTAGAAGACGCTGAGGAAGTAATGAGACAAATGGTCCGAAAAGGTGTAGAACCTAATATAATTATATACACTGCGATAATGGACGGCTATTGTTTGCGTGGTGAACTGGATAGAGCGAAGAGAGTTTTTGATTTCATGATAGATAATAAAATTGAACCTGACATTATTTGCTATAGTGTACTGATAAATGGATACTGTAAAGTAAAACAATTGGCCAAGGCCATGCAATTGTTTCATGAAATTTCTCAAAAGGGATCAAAACCTGATATTTTTACCTACAATATCCTCTTGCAAGGTCTGTTTGAAGCTGGAAAAATTGACTCTGCAAAAAAATTCTTTGCTGAGATGCTATCAACGGGGCTTGTACCTGATTTATACACTCTCTGCACTTTGCTCAATGGTTATTTTAAATATGGACTTGTTGAAGAAGCTATGTCGTTCTTTAATAAGTTGGAAAGAGAGATAGAATATACCAGTATTGAATTTTACAATGTTGTCATTAATGGATTGTGCAAAAATGGTGAACTCGACAAAGCTCGTGTGATATTTGAGAAGCTTTCTTTAATTGGAATGCTTCCAAATGTGAGAACATACACTATAATGATAAATGGATTTAGTCTTGAAGGGTTTTTGGATGAAGCTAAAGATATGCTTAGGAAAATGGAGGACAACGGTTGTATGCCAAACAATGCTACATACAATGTTTTTGTACGAGGATACCTAAGGTGCAGCAAAATTAATGAAATGGCAATTTTTATGAAGGAAATGGTTAGAAAGGGCTTCTCATGTGATGCAGATACAACTGAGTTACTGGTAAACATTATAAGGGAGAATCCTTCTGTCCTTGACATGATACCTGAGTTTCGATCTGAATATAAGAAGTGAATATTTCTTTCTCTTGCTTTATTTGGCTTTACATTCACAATGAAAAGTGACGTCCATGCAATTACGGAAGATAAAAAAATGGCAATTAGAACATCACTTGAGCTTTCCAGGCATGCTTAAGGCTTACAGAGGAGGTACATCACTTTTGATATTTCAATTCTTTCTCCACTTATGAGTGATAACATGAGTTCCCTTATGTGTACACGTTATAAGTCTAGGAATATCATTTTCTGTGCTAAATAGTTGTCTTCGTGTACTATTGTTTTCCGTCTTGTTGTGAATCAATAACAACTGCACGTAACTTGAAATGTTTTGGGAACAATCTTTTTTTTTTGTTGGAAACTAGTACTGTTGAATTTCTCAGCATTAAGGGTCTGCTGGCCATTTCCAAAAAGTATTACAAAAGAGGGGAACAATCTTATTCTAAACTTATTGGATATACTATAGATGAACAGTCAATACAATGTTCGAGTTATTTAGAATACATTTTTTTTTTTTGAGAATATTTTCTAATGCATATTTCTGAAGGTTTATATATGATCCAAGAGTACTGGATGCTTTATTGGGAATTTACATTTTCATAGAACAATAAAATTGTCAAATATAAGTTCATTGGGCCTTTGACTACTTGTCACCATAATTTAGATAGGGTTGTGCTCCATATCACCATTTCCAACTAACTTAGAAGATGGAGGGAGCAGTTTTCTTTTGAAGATGGAGAAATCTGCAATCTGTTATTGTACCCATAACTTCATGCTTCAATGCTGTGTTATACTGCTGGTAACTTTACTATAATTAGTGAAGTTAATTAGTGGGATGGACACAGTAGAAGGGAAGTTTGTGCTATGCTCTGTACTCACTATAAGGTATGCAAATGTATACGTTGTGATATTAGGATGTATTTTCATTTCTTCCATTATTATTACAATTTAAGTTGAAGAAGACATACTTTACACTTCCGTATCTAAAAAAAATCTGTTTTTTCCTGTCTTTACCGTCGACGTTAAATAACTAACATTTTAAATCATCTCATTTACACTTGTGCTAAGTTTAAGTGACCTTAATTTGAAGTTAAAGAGTATTACTGGGTTCGTCGATCCTACTTAACTTGTGTTTTATTTATAAGAATGCTTTGTTTCATCTTTTCTCAAATTTGTCTGCCAACGATGAGAAGGAATAAGTATGGATAAATTTGTGGTGAACTGAATTATATGCAGACTTACTGGATGATATCAAATACGCAATTCTGACATTCTTGTTCTTTTATTTTTAGGGATTAATATCGAGATTTCCTCAATCCTCTCAAGTGTTTTGCTACTATATCCAAATAACTTTGACGAAATTGTGCTAGATGAGACAGGATATCTTGGTTGAATTCTATGCTCCATGGTACTTTAAATTGTCTCACAGCAAGTCGTTCACTTGATTCGGGAATTGATCAGTAAGTTCTATTTAGCTGGTCCTGGTATATCACCTAAGCTGTAACTTCTTATTCAATAAAAAGAAGTGCTAAATGTGCAATTTATCGGAATAGACTGAATAGGTTGTGACACTGCTCAAACTAGAGAATCAATATTTTACTTAATAATCTACTGCAAACGAACCGAAAAACTTGTACAGTGCCTATCAATGCTTATTCTCTTTTGCGTCTTTGAGTGTGAGAAAACTAATCATCTGTTGAACTTGGGATTTTTTTAGTACTTTATTTTTGTTTATTTTCTACAGGAAGAGGGATCGTTCTTCTATTTCAAAGCCCTTTTTTAGTATAACAGTTTTTAGTATTTGCCTAAAGAAGTACATTGTTTATTACCAAATGGCATAAGAGCAACCGTTACTTGATTGTGCAACCTCTTGATCAATCATGAAAATGAATGATCATCTAGTTTGAAGAATAACTAGTCTTATGTAGTTTGAATACTTCACTCTTTTACCATTATAATATTTGGCAACAATTGTCTTCTTACGACTTGCTGCATTTATACTTCAAGGGGATTTATTGATTCACAAGTACAAAAGTGCTAACAAGGATAATATCTGCAAAGAGCAGAAATCCTTTGAGGATGGAATCAGATATCCGCCAGACTTTAGTGATTCACAAGTACAAAAGTGCTAACAACGATATATCTGCTTCGCTCCCTCTTTTGCCTTTTATGAAACTACTTCAACTCAGCTGTATATCTCATCTTTCCTGTTCTTCATTGCATCCATAAGATTGAATCTGTATCTCATTCTTAGGATACCGTTCCTGAATTACTGACTGATTTCTGCTACTAAATATTTACTGGTTCGGTGGTCAGTTTAGCAGTTGAGAATTGACTGTTTTGCAGCTATTTTCCCCTTTTATACTCCTTCCTCAATCTCTCGTCTCTGTATTCGAAACAGGTTGAACATAAACTCTAGTTTGAACTTCTTTTTCTACAAGATATGTGACTATTTGGCATGATTTTTCAAGTTTTTATCTAAAATGGGTGACAATTTACAACCCTTCTTCTACCAATGGTATGAAATTCCTGGCGGTTACAGGGACTGATGTAGTTTGTATCATTTATATTTTTCTTTGAAAATTGGTTCATACTGAAATTTAACTTACTTTGTATTCATTTCATCTAATGAGCACTATTCTTTAATTGACCAAATACATAGATAGCTAGCACCCAAAATTGTCTGAATTTTTCATTGAAGGCATGTCCTGTTAGCAACATTTACTTGTTAAAGTATGACATTCGTTTAGGGTGTGTTTGGTATGAAGGAAGGTGTTATCCAAGAAAATATTTTTTCGGAAAACAAGTGGATTTCTAACTTATTTTTTTATGTTTGGTTGGTGAGTAGAAAATATTTTTTAATGTTTGGTTGTTGAATAAATTTTTAAAAAATTTTTCCATATTTAATTTTTTTTTTTTTGATGGGAGTGCCCTGGGTTGGGGGTGGTGGGGGATGACGAAAAAACATAAATTTAAAATATTTTTCAGAAATAATTTTTTTTTAAAAATAATAATAATTGACCGGGGGTGGGGTGGGGGTCAGGGTATGAGGTGAAGTAAAAACTGAAATTTTAAAAAATTGAAATATTTTTTCAAAACAATATTTTTTTATGGGGGTGGGGGATAGGGGTGATGGGGGTTGGGTTAGATAAAAAAATCTTAAATTTGAAATATTTTTTAAAAATAATTTTTTTTATTTTTTGGGGAGGGTAGATGGTTTGGGGTAGGAGTAAATATAGATTTTATAATTAAGAAATAAGAAAATTTAACAAAATAATTTTTTTTATGGGGAGGGTCAGGTTTGGAGTACGGGGTAGGGTAAGAAAAAATACTGAAGGATCTAAGTAGAGTTTTGGAAAATGTTTTTCTTAATTTTTGAAGAGAATTCATTTTCCTTAAATTTGAAAAAAATGAGTTGATTTAGAAAACATTTCTCAAAATATTTAAGCCAACCAAACAACATATTCAACTATAACATCCTCATAGATGCCCTTTGCAAAGATAGATACTTAGATATTGTTATCAACCTTTTAAATAAGATGAAGTTGAAAGGCATTCCTTCGGACATTTTAACTATAGTTCATTGATTGATGATTTGTGTAAGCTTGGTCAATGAAAAATGGTAAAGACTTTGTTCATTGAGATGGTGAATCTTAATATTTATTCGAATAGTCATAAAAGGTATAGAGTCTAATATAATTACATACAATGTGATAATGGATGAGAGGTTATGAGCTCAAGCTTCTATAAAAATAGTGTCTTGCAGTCTATGATTGTGTACAATAAGAATTTACACCAAATTGTCTTTTTTATTTTTGGGAAAAGTCTCAAATATGCCATGAAATTTTGAAAAAAGGTTCATCCATGCCATCCAATTAAAGTTTGGTTCATCTATGCTATTTTTGTTTGAGAAAAGACTGGGTTTTGATTTTGCAAAATCGAAATTGTGAGCCTTTTTTCAAACGAAGATGACATAAATTGAGTTAATACATAAAATCCCTCTCAAACTTGTCCACGAAACTTACTTTAGCAATGAAACTTGTAGAGAACCACTTGTATTGTGGAAGGTGTTCTACACGCACCTCCACCTGTCGAATCTCCCTTCTTTATTTTTTCACTTTTTATTTTTTTTCTTCCACCATTCTGGATCCGGCTCCTCTCCATTTCTCTTCTCTCTATTTTTCCCAAGTTCTAATTTGGATTGGAGACACGTGTCATAGTTTAGAATTGATGATTGAGATCTAATTGATTAAAGTAAAGTCGTAACCATAGTTATTTACTTCCATATATTTGGTTCTTAAATATTTTTGCAATCCAACAATTCTAGATTTATATTATATTTTTCCTAAATATATTTAAAAGAATTTCTTTTTTTAATTGCTTGAGTAGCTTTTTGCTGATTTTTTACTTTTTTTTCCCTAACGTTTGCCATTTCTCAAATAGTATTTGCCAAATTAAAAATTAAAAATTGTGAGCTGACGTTTTTTTAAAATTTTAGGAGTAAAATAAATTTTGTCACTCAACTATAAATTCGTTCTTACTCCCTAAATGGAGTCCATAGTGCTCTATAGACACTGTAACTCTTAATACTTTATCAGAATAATAAAAACGTGTATTATAATTTTTTTCAAAAAAATAAAAATATTTAGTAAAAGTTTTAAATATGTATGCAGGGCAATAAAAAAAAGTTTTAAATATATTTAGGGAAAATATAATGGATTGCAAAACTATTTAAGAAGTAAATATATGGCAGTAAATAACTATGATTAGGACTCTACTTTAATCAATTAGATCAATCATTAATTCTAAACTATGACATGTGTCTCCAATCCAAGCTAGAACTTGGGGAAAATGGAGAGGAGCCGGATCCCACCATTCTTGAGATGGAGGGTGTATTTTTTTTATTTTATTTTTAATAAAATGTGAAATATTAGCAATTTTATTACCAAAAAAACTCATCAGCCCCCAATTTGCTATCAAGCTAGAACTTGGGGAAAATGGAGAGGAGCCGGATCCCACCATTCTTGAGATGGAAGGGGTATTTTAATAAAATGTGAAATATTAGCACATTTTATTACCAAAAAAATATATTTAAAAAATCATGGCAATTGAATAAATATCCGATCTATATTTTGGTAAAGCATTCTGATATAGCTTTGAATAGCAAATTGGGGGCTGCCTTTTTCTCTTTGTTTTGTTCAAATCAAACGAAGCTGAGACCTGCACTTTCTCTTTTGCTTTACTCAAATACAACAAGTTTGAGCAATCAATAACTCATTCGAATTGAAAATTCCAGTACATAATTGCTTTGAGATTTTAGTTTTGAAGAATAAGACGTCAGAGAAATCGATATTTTCAATACGAAGAATGATTTTGATTTCTTAGATTTTTCTCTGCTTTACCAGTGATTTCTCTTTTGATGTACATCTTGATGAGAAATTAAGATATATCAACGGTGATTTGTCTTTTAGACGAAGAAAGCCTCTCTTCTTGTTTGCCTTTAAAATTATAGATTAAAAAAATATAAATATGAAAAGAACATTCAAAGAAAATAGAGATATTCATCGGAAAAAATGTCTGGCAAAATTTCCAGCAATATGTACATCAAGAAATTAGTTGCAGATCTATATTTTGGGGGAAATGAAAGAAAGGAAGACGACGAGGAAAAAAGAAAAGGATAAAATAAGAAAATAAAATGAAAGAGACGGTCCCACTAAAAATTAATTATCAGTCCCCAATTAAAAAATGACACGTGTATAGCTAACTATTTTTCTGTACACATTTTAATTTGTTACGCGCGTGTAGCAAAGTAGTTCCACTTTCTTTGCCATGGCACATCTAAGGGGGTATAAAATTCAATTGAAACTAAATTAGGGGGTAAATAATTACCCGTAAAGTTAAAGTGCCAAAGTAATTTCTGCTGTCAAGTTCAGAGGGGATTTTATGTATATTCTCGACATAAATTAGTCAAACTTTTATCAGATGACATAGATGAACCTCTTCTCAAAGTTTGATGACATATTTGTAGGGGAGTTCATCGATCGGTTCGGTTTGATTTTATGTACTATCGGTTCGATATATTGGTTTTCAATTTTTAAATATGCTAAACCAATAAGATATTCTTTATCGGTTTTTGGTCATTAACGATTCGATTTTCGGTTTGCCCAATAAGAAAATACTCATAAATTAAATATATGATTTCTCACTTCTCTAACAATTTGGCATGATACAATGAGACAAACAAATCAGCTGTAAATGTTTTGGTATAGTGAAACAAGAAATATAATGAGAAATTGCATCAATAAGAGTAGATGTAGTACGAAGACTACAATAACACGTTACAACCAAAACATAATATGGAATTTCTAATGTGAAGTAGGTACTATGACGTGTGAAGTGTGTAGACCGTAGTGTAGAGTATAAATATAGTGTCTAGTTATGTTAAACTATTAATATTTAATATTTATGAAGGATATAATAGTAACTTACTATCGTTTTAATGGGTTATCAATTTACCCAATAACCCAATAC